TAAGTGGGGGAACAAAGGACTACTTAGAGGAAAATGTATAGTTCTAAATATATTAGAATACAAACTGAAATGAACCATATAGCTAGAGAAACTAGAAACAAGTACCCAAAGAAACAGAAGGAAAAGGCCAACAATGATCACGGACATCTTGCAAAGCTAGCCAAACAAAAGAAAACACACAGAATACAGAATATATGCAGTCTAACAAATGCATGAACTCATCCTAGAAGAAATGCTACATACCTCATTGCTGAGTATCACTATGGTCACTTTCAAGGTATTCCCCTTGAGAAGCTATGACTGATGCCAGTGCCTAGTCCACCGTTCAAAGCAATTTTGGAACTTTTTCTGGAATGGCCATCAGAGCTGTTATTGTACAAGGCCTCACAATTTGTGAACCTGTCCTAGAAAAAGTGCTACATACTTCATTGCTGAATATCACTAAGGTCACCTTCAAAGTACTCCCCTGGCCATCTGGTGTCCATATGATTTTCAGCAATGAGGTATGTAGCACTTTTTCTAGGATGAGTTCATGAACTTAACCGTCTGACGTTTGTATGTTTGTTGGCTTTATCTGCCCTTACCCCTTACCCATTTTTTCTGGTTGACAGAACCTCCATTTTCTGGGAAACACACACACAAATTGGGTGTGTCTCACCATGCTTCTGTCCTCCATCCCTAGCCCTGATCACAGTGACTGTTCTGAGTAGGACCAGTTGGTTTTCCCTGAAACACAGGAACTCTCAAGAAGGGACTTGTTGTCTGTAAGGACTGTGTATAAACTGCAGCTTCCTATGGAAAACACCATAGGAAAGAAAAGGTAGAGGAGCAGGAGCAGGACACCTGAGAAAACCAGGAGCAGAGACACCTGAGAGACAAATGAGGGCTCTGAGGAATCATGCTGACCTTGGGTCAGCTCTTTTTAAAGTGCACCATTCTTAAACATCAGGCCAATGAACCCTGTTTGAGTTCAATTTTGTCACCTGTAAGAAAAGTCCCCCCAAATACAAATATTATATGACATTTTATCTCAAAAGTTTAAATACACAAGAAATATAATCCTAGACTGACATAAATTACCAAAATTGACTCAAAGATAGAGACTTTAGAATGCTATAGAAGAAACTAAAAGGCAATCAAAAGACCAAGCACAGGTGTTTTTTTAAACAAATTCCTCTCCTATATACTATTCAAGCCTGAATAAAAGGATGTCTCAGCCAGGCAAAGTTCTGTAATCCCAGAACTTGGGAGGCCAAGGCAGGTGGACTGCCTGAGCTCACAGGTTTGAGACTAGCCTGAGTAAAAGCAGGACCCCATCTCTAAAAATAGCAAGAGCAAGACCCTATATCCTGTTGTGGAGGACGCCTGTAGTCCTAGTTACTTGGGAGGCTGAGGCAAGAGAATCACTTGAGCCCAAGTGTTTGAGGTTGCTGTGAGCTATGACACCACAGCACTCTACTGAGGGTGACAAAGTAAGACTGTCTCAAAAAAAAAAAAATAAATAAAAAAAAAAATAAAAAAACGGATGGGGTGGTACCTGTGGCTCAAAGGAGTAGGGTGCCGGCCCCATATGCCAGAAGTGGTGGGTTCAAACCCAGGCCCGGCCAAAAACTGCAAAAAAAAAAAAAAAGAGATGTCTCTAAACCCATCCTACAAGGCCAGCATAATGCTGAAAAGGGAGCATAAAACAAAAGGGAAATTGGCCCAGAGGTAGATATAAAAATTTTATATAAATTAATAGTATACCATAAACCTAAGCAAGGTTTACATCAGAAAGCAAGGCTGATTTGGCATTAGGGAACATTAATGTAATTCAATGCAGTAATAAAAGAAAACTTTTTGACTATCTCAACAGATGTCAAAATTCATCACTGCTGAATAAAGGAAAAAACCCTCAGTAAGCTAGGAATAGAAGAAAGCAACTTCAGCCTAAGGAAATTTAAAATCAAGAACCCTGTTTCATCATGAAACAGGGGAACCATTCCCACAGAGAAAAATCAAAGGTTCCATTCAACAACAGAGTAGACATCCTGGCCTTTCTGATTCATGAGAAAAAGAAATAGGTGTAAAGGAGAAAATAAACTTGCCACTAGTAGGGTATGATTTGACCACATAAGAGAGTTAAAAGAACCAACTGAAGAACTCTGAGAACTGATGAACATCCCATTAGATCAACAAGGTGTGAACAACACAAAGATGGATGCCAGTGACAGAAGATTCTATTCATGAGTAACTAGGAATTTTATAAAATTTCTGAGTAAGACTAAATCAAGCTAGAAACCTAAAAGGCATCCACATGACAATACCACCTCAACAACAAAAAACCTCATTTCTGAATAGTAAGATTTAATACCATTAAGATACCACTTCTCCTCAAATAAAACTTTTTTCAAAAAATCATGCCAATGAAAACCCCAAGAGAATTTTTAAATAAAAACTGACACTTTAATGGGTGGTGCCTGCGGCTCAAAGGAGTAGGGTGCTGGCTCCATATGCCAGAGGTGGTGGGTTCAAACTCAGCCCTGGCCAAAAACTGCCAAAAAAAAAAAAAATTGACATTGGGAGATGAAGGAAGGAGGATTACCCAAGAGCAGAAGTTTGAGAACAGCCTTGGCAAGACAGCAAGACCCTGTCTGTATGAAAACAAAATTAGTTAGGTGTGTAGTCCTAGCAATTAGGGAGGCTTAGGTGGGAGGATCCCTTGAGCACCAGACTTCCAGGTTGCAGTGGGCTGTGACTGAGCCATTACACTCCAGCCTGGGCAACAGAGTGAGACTATCTCAGAATAAAATAATAATAAAAAAATTCTTATGTTAAGAGAATACCTGAAAATATGAAATGGCCAAGGAATGGCAAGGTAGGGGAGCTATCACATTATCAATCATACTTTAAAACGTGGTGTAGGAACATACATCAAAAGGACAGTTTCCCAAAAAAGGTCCATGTGTACCTATGGAATTTATATTTGAGACAGAGTCACATTTTGTTGCCGTTGGTACAGGGCTGTTGCATCATAGCTCACAGCAATCTCAAACTCTTAGGCTGAAGCGATTCTCTTGCCTCAGCCTCCCGAGTAGCTGGGACTACAGGTGCCCACAGCGACTCTGAGCTATTATTTAGAGACAAGGCCTTACTCTGGCTCAGGCTGGTCTTGAACCTGTGAGCTCAGGCAATCCACCTGCTTCAGCCTCTCAAGTGGTAGTATTACAGGTGTGAGCCACCATGACTGGCTTGGAATTTATTTTTAAAAATGTATTTCTAGGCTCGGTGCTTGTGGCTCAAGCGGCTAAGGTGCCAGCCACATATATCTGAGCTGGTGGGTTCGAATCCAGCCCAGGCCCACCAAACAACAATGATGGCTGCAATCAAAAAATAGCCAGGCACTGTGACAGAGCCTCAAGCTATCCCCCTGGGCAGAGTGCTGTGGCATCACAGCTCACAGCAACCTCCAACTCCTGGGCTCAAGTGAGTCTCCTGCCTCAGCCTCCCAAGTAGCTGGGACCACAGG